TATGCACTTTCGTTTTCAAGGTTTACTATGGAAATAATGGAAAATGTTAAATCTTTGCCTCACCATGGTTGCATTGGGCGTGGGAATTCAATTCTTTTTCTTTCGTAGAGTCTCTATGATCATGCATGAGGCGTGGCCAAGGGCCAAACACCATTTTGTTCTAGGTTTTACATTTTGGTTTCATTTATTGCATTTTTAGGTATTCTTGGCCGTTGAGAGGTCATATTTTGCATTGGGGTCATTTTGAGGCCGCGGACCATTGGAACGCGTCTTAAATGCCTTTTTACGTTTGCGTGCATGTTTACATTTCACAAAACTCTTAAGCTTTGACTTTTGAAGTATTTTGGGAGGATTTATGAGTTCTTATACAAAATTCATGCATTTGGGTGTCATTTAAGTTCTTTTTTGTTTTGGTATATTTTGGATGCTTGCATGAGACTATGGAATGTTTTCAACTTATTCGAATCATGTAGAATACATGTAGAACTTTAAACCGGACACATTTCACACCCATTGCAGTAGCTTTTTCTGCTGCAGCTGATGTGTCGGTCGGTTGATGAGGGCCATCAGCTGGCTGACAAGCCTAGAGACCCAATTCCAGTAGCCATTTTAGGAAAAATGGCATTTCAGCTGGCTGACGATTGGGGTTCGGTCGGCGAACGATGGGGTTTCGGTCGGCTGGTCCTTGCCGTCAGTCAACCGATCCTCCCTGGAGCTTTTCCATTTCAGTTTTTCCTTGATAGCTTTGTTGCATCGACTTCAGAGGGTCATATCCCCTCATTTCTAATCCAAATTGGCTCGTTCTTGAGTCTAAATTCAAGAGCTCAAAGTTAGCTTTCTAATGGTACCAACCACTCATCAAAACTTCATATATGGTGTGAGTTATTCTAGTTTTAGTGAGATAGGTTCGTGGTAACTCTTAAACGAAGAAGGTTACTTTGTTTTAATTTCATATATTTTCCGTTCAGGCTCAGAATCAGGCGATTCTTGAGTCTAACTTCGTTCATTTGTTGTTGTCTTTCTAATGGTGTGCACAGGGGCATCCATTTCAGTGTAAAATGACCATTTTGCCCTTAGTTCATTTCTTTTCGGGTTTGGCATTCTTGCTTCATTGCTTGGCTTATTTGAGTTTTGTGGCTTCATGGGGAGTCATCTTGATGCCTTAGGGGTGACGTACATCTCTTGAGGCCATTTTGCTTCTTTTGCTTCTACATTTTGGATCTGTTAACGGATCATCTTTTGGTTCATCACAGGACACACTGGGTTGAAAAATTCAGGGTCGTTACATTTCTGCTGTCCGTCCTCGACATCGTAAGTAATTGACGTCGGCCGCCATCCTCTGTCCTCACCATTGACGTCGTCTGCTATCTCGCTGTCCTCGTCATTGTCAGTGCAGTTGTTCCGCCGTTGTTTGTGTCGCTGTCCCGCAGCCATCGTCTGCTGTCACATCGATAGGTACTACATCACTTGGAGAAAAAAAATCAGAAGTTATGTGTTGAAGTGATTTTAGATATAAATCTTTTTACTGATTTCACGGTCAAATATTTATATAGTGTTGAAGTGATTTTAGTTAAAGATATTGGCATGACGTAAAATAAATTCAATATTATTACAAATATAATAAATTGAGTGTATGAGTGGGCAGAGTGTGTGTTTATTTTTTGGTTATTTAGAAATCCCCTTTTATTTATTTTTATTTTTTATTTTTATTTGTTCTTTGTATGATACCCTCTGCATCTTTCTTGTCACTCTCTATGAATCTCTGTTATTGTTTTGCCTCGCATATTTATACATGGATAAATTTATATATACACAATTTGTTATTTTTGTAACTAGAATACACCAAAATCTGAATTGTGGAATCATTTCACAAACCTTCCGAAAGAAGGTGGGGAGCCTTCTGAGACCACCCGAATTAAGAACCTAGGATTTTAAAAATTTAGTATGGGCTGGGCTTAGGCTCATTGGGTGGAATTATCTCTGGCTTGGGCTTGGGCTTGGGCTGAAGATTTGTACGTTGGGCTGAGCCCGAGTTAAGTGTCCAGCCCGCCCAACTAGCCGCCCTAATTAAAATATCCAACTATTTTTTTTTTTTTTTGCCAACAAATATCCAACTAGAGGAGAGAAAAATGAAATATACTAACTAACAAAAGAAACAAATATTATTAATAAGGCTAAGTAACTTATTAATGTCTTCTTCCATTTGCCAAAGCTTATTGATGACATTCCACCAAGAAGAAAATTGCAATAATTTAACGTTTAAACTTAGCAGCAAAGTTTCTATACAAACTAAATCAATTTGTGGAATAATTTCACATTTAAACGTACCCGTAATAAACTAAATCAGACCAAATATTAAATTGAATTAGATTTATTTTTCTTGTCTAATTAACAATTTACGGAGTTTAAAAAAATGTTTACAGCAGATGTCATTATAGCTATACTGAGAAGACTATTCCTGTGAGGCAAATGAAAGGAGACAATTATAATGAAGGTTGAGATAAGTTACCAAATCACTAATTGAAAAAAAAAAAAAAAAAAAAAATGCATTAATATCCCCCTAAAATCCTGAACACATAAATTAGTCTACAATACCAAAATAAGAATGCAATGTCATGCTAGGTGATGAAGTAATGTATAATGTCTAACAGCGAGTTTCAACATTTAAAATTCACCTAGATATAGAACTACTTGATCTCAACATATCTATAATGAGAAATAAGAATATAAAACAATCTATATTAACGATTAGACCCGTATAAATAATTATAGGTACATGTATAAATAATTATAGGTACATATATATAACGTATGATATGAACTAGTAGATTACTAATCAAAAAAAAAAAAAAAAAATGATATGAACTAGTAGATCTGTGGAAATTATAAAAAAATAAAAATCTATAGAAAACTGATGAAAAACAAGAAAGACAAGAAGAACGGATCTAGAAATAGAACTGTAGAAAAATAGAAAAAATATATATATTTAGAATGGTAGTAGAAAGAGCAAACCTAGATCTAGAGTTTCATTTCAGTCTCAAGGGGAGAGAACTAACTACAGACGGTGGGAGAGACTAATCTGCTTGAAGCTGTGATCGATCTCCTTCGCTATTGCCGAACGAAAAATATATATGGTTCCTTCTTTTCTATTAAATCGTAGTGCTCCCATAATCACGCAAAAGAGAGAGAAGCTAGAATTTTTATGGGAAAGTCTTCATCTCAAAACTCGATCCTCAATAGGGTAAGTGATAGCATTACCTGAAACCGCAAAGGTTTGTATAGAAACTTTTGTAGTATATCCATTTAAACTATTCCTTGTCTCTTTTGGCTTCCAAAAAGGAAATGTTTGAAAAATATTTACTTTTACTTTTAAAAAGCTTAAATAGCACAATCCTTGCTTCTCTATTTGCATTTTTTAGTCATGTTTTGGCTAACAAAATGATTTAAAAGCTTCTAAAATCCCGAAAACTCAATCCACCAAATCTTTCGTAGCTTATCCCAATTCATCAAAAATGCAATCCGCCAAAATTGTTTGCAGTTTATACCAACTGTAGCGGGTTTAAAACAAAACAACCCAACTCACTCTATATTAGGGGTGAGTTCGTAAGTTATAATCGTGTCGTGTTGATGTAAGATTATTATATTAAACAAGTAAATCCAAACCTAACCCATTTAATAATTGTGTACCTGTTTATTAAACGGATAAACGTGTTAACCTGTTTAATAACCTATTTATCAAAACGAAACATTTAATATTTAATCAAATAATAAATACTAAATTTTTTTTATCACAATTAACCTATGAAGCACGGACACTCCTCCTAAGGATCTCGTACCGGTGTCGGACACTTTTCGGACACGGACACGCCTGTCCGAGGCCCGGACATATGTCCAACACTTCTGTAAAGTGTCCAAAAATTATTTTTTATTAGACACGGGGTGGACATGGCTCAGACACGGCTAAAACACGGGTGGACATGACTCGGACACGGCGGGGACACGAGGGGTATATTTTGTAATTTTTTTTTAAGATAAATGAGGTGACTAATGTAATATTTTAGAAGTTTAAAAGTAAAATTTTGAAAAAATAAAATAACAAAGAGTACTACACAGTAAATTTATTTTCTCTCACTTCCACTCTCTGTCTCTCCTCTTTTTTAATTATGTACATGAACAAAACATTTTTTTTTTTTTTTAAAGTTACATGAACAAGACTTTGTGAAAGACTGAAAATATATATGTTTATTCATGCACATATTTAGCCCATTATAACTATGTCTCTTCTGCACATTTTCGTTTAGAATTTAGATCAACTTTATTTTTTCATTTATTTTCTATTTTGTCTTGTCTATGTTTTTCTTATAATAAAGATGAAATTATTGAAATTCGTCATGTTATTTGTTGTTGTTTTATTTACAATTTTGTATTTATATATACCTGTTTATTATTAAAAAAAATGAATGTGCAAGGTTCTAGTAATTATATTTTAATATATATATATATATATATATATATATATATATATATTATTTTATAGGCATATCCCCGCCGTATTCGTGTCCTATTTTTTTGAAATTTGCCGTATTATCGTATCCATGTTGTGTCGTACCCGTATTCCGTGTCCGTGCTTCATAGCAATTAACCCAAATATTCAAAATAAGAAGAAAAATCATAAGAAGTGGTTGAGGTTTATGTTGAAATGAATTAACTGTGTATAGTAATTGGGTTTAACCAGGTAACATATTACATAGGTTATATTTACGATTATAACATGTTGAGTTAAACAGGCTACACGGGTTGAACCCTTCAACTCAAACCCAACAAGATTAAATAAACGAATTAATCGTGTCAACTCGTTTATGACCCAAACCCGTTTATCTCGTGCCGTGTCCGAGTCGTGGTTGGTCATGTTCTAATTTGCCACTCCTACTCCATATACCAAACAGGCCCTTCATCCAATGCAGGCCCTTCATCCAATGCACTCCTTATGCCAAACATCCCTTAACACCTTCCCAATATAAAAGCCCCCCGACAGCTTAGAAGAGAGATACACAGTCAGATTGTCATTTTCTCGCCCTAAAGACACAGAGCCATCGCCGGCGATAGCGAAGGAGATCGATTAAAGCTTGAAGCAGGTTAGTCTCTCTCACCGTCTGTAGTTAGTTCTCTCCCCTTGAGGCTGAGACGAAACTCTAGATTTAGGTTTGCTCTTTCTACTACCATTCTAAATATATATATATATATATATTTTTATAAACATGTTTATAAACTCCATAAATGGTTAATTAAACAAGAAAAATAAATCTGATTCAATTTAATTTTTGGTCTGATTTAGTTTATTTAAGGACTATTCACATGTTAAGAGTGGAATATATACAATAGTATGTGATTAGCAGTGCTAGGCGATTGACATTTCAAACCTTTTTCATGTAGACCCCTCGATCCAGTGGGTTCTTCAAATTTTATAACTCTTCAACACTCAGACCAGATCTCTAGCACACTCCTTTTGTTGATCTTACGTAGTCTTGTAATATGCCGAATTGAATAACCATTTTCAATTAGCCAGTATCCATATTAATTGCGAACGGATGGCCTTTTTACAAGTTTCTTATATGTGTATCAGTTAATTTTACTGACTGATATGGAAATACTTCTTATATATATATATATATATATATATATATTTACAAGATAATTAGATCCCGATTGAAGTTAATTTTTATAGTCAATTGTCTGAGATGGCAATAGCTACATGTTCATTAGATCTCGTATATAGATTCCAATTCTCTTTTCATTGCACTTATTTTATTATTATTATTTTTTTATCTTGTTTCCGGATACTTTTGTACTTGTCTAGTCCATTGAATAATCTAGTGTTTATGTATCAATTTATAGGGATTCAACCTTCATAGATAAATTGTTGTGTGCATTTCCTTACTGAATGTGGTTGATCAGGTTGCACTTTGATGATCATCTATTTGTCTTCATTTAGGGATGTTGTATTGGTGTGGTTAGTGCAAGTTCTATTACATGATATTGTTATTGATGTGTTTTGAATGAGGGGTGTTCTTGAGATTGAGTGTTATATATATATATATATATATATATCGTTTTTGTCCAACACAGATTTGTATGAGTAGATTTTTGTGTCATTAATTGGTAGTCTATCAATTATTGTTTGGAAGTTTATGGTACAATACTGACATGGCTATCCAATAGTAGACATGTTTCCTTGTAACTATTATCACAGTTATATGGAACTTTTTCTAATCTATGTTTTCTTCATTGTTTTGTCAGAATTCACACAATTTAAAATATTTTCAATTTCTTGAATGTGAAAGAATGTACGTTAGTGGTTAACTGGTTAATTCAGTTGGATCATTGAACATTAAACTTTGTATGCAGTTCTGGCATAAACATAAAATCAACCTTCTATTTTGCTTTCAGATAGACTCTGGTTAATTATTTACCAATGGCTGTCACATTCTACAATCTCAGCTCGGAGTCTGGTCTCAAGAAGCTCGACGAGTACCTCCTTTCACGTAGTTACATCACGGGGTGAGTTCCATTGCATTAATTTTGCAACCCATTTATTTGTGTGGTAAATTATTTACTGATGTGTATCTTTATCTCATATAACTAACTCGACTCCTTGAGTATGAATTTTTTGATAATCTGTTTACTCACCCTTTAAGGTATCTAGCTTCAAAGGATGATATCACTGTGCATGCAGCTCTTTCTAAGCCTCCATCATCTGAATATGTGAATGTGTCTCGGTGGTTTCACCACATTGAAGCCCTTTTGAGGATTTCGTAAGTTCTTGCTACCAATTTGACTGTCATAATTATTATGAAGATAACGCTTCAACAAAAAATCATTTTTGTGAATATATTATAGTTTGGGCGTACCATCATGTTTTACGGAATTTCAATTTTGTTAATAAATAAAACTCAGTTATTTTCTTTAATACTGCGTCTTATCGAGTTTATGGAATTCTGGCCTTGCAGTGGTGTTTCTGGTGAAGGTTGCGGTGTCACTGTAGAGAGGTCAGCTCCTATCACTGAGGAAGCTGTCGCAACTCCTGCTGCTGTTGATACTAAGGCAAGTTTCTTGACCTGTTTGTTTAATGTTTTATGCATTGTTCTGATTGTATTTGTGTGTGTGAGTGCCAGTTTGTCAGCTTTTATTGCTCGGTTTTATATACTTCTTTCTAGTCGTGCTACTTATTAGTCTGATATCTGGAGTTTTATACTACCTATAACATTTAAGCAATTTTAGTGCCTTTCTAGAGCTACTTGTTAATAAATAATCATTAAGAATTGAATCTTATATCTTTGTATGGAACATGTGTTTTAGGCCTCAGCTGCTGAGGATGACGATGATGATGATGTGGATCTCTTTGGTGAAGAGACTGAAGAGGAAAAGAAGGCTGCTGAGGAACGTGCAGCTGCTGTGAAGGCATCTGGAAAAAAGAAAGAATGTGAGTTTCTTCTCTTATATTCATGCATTACAGTTTGAGTCTATTGCTTCTATTATTATTAGACCATAATTATATTAACATGGAGTTGGGTATGTGTCTTTGTCAATTGCTGAATCAGATTTATCTAATACTCAATTCCAACAGCACTGAGTCACAACTAAATATCGTTATTATTACAATTTTTATTTAATTTCCTAACCTAATTGTTTAGGTAGTATATATCTTTTGATATGGGTACTTGTTTTGAAATTTAAAGTAATTATGTTAGAAAAGAAACATAATATTAATGTTCTATTTAAAACTAAATTATATAGTTAACTTGAATTATAAAATATGCTTGCTAGAGGAACGTCTACCAAGAGATGTCCTACATATAGTCTCACACTCAAATCAAGATTATATGTATCTGACATGGATATTTCATGTATTTGGAAGAGGCCATATATGTTCTAACAGAGGAAATCAATAAGTGGATAGATTGCTTCAAGATTAGTAAACTACATACATCTATATAATCTATACAACCCTATTTTGGTCCCTTGAACTTCTTTGCTGGGAAACTCTACATAGAAAACCCTGGCTGATGGATATGGTTCAATTGCCGAAATGCTTATCATGAACAATTTTAGCAGTTCCTCCAACAGGATGAGTTTCAGATGTTTGCTTTTGCTGCTTTTGGACCTTGCACATTTTTTTTTTTTTCCATGGAAAAAAATTCCCTTTCGGTTCTTATAAGTTCAATCTTGTTGTTTTTTTATTCTTCAGCTGGAAAGTCGTCAATTCTGTTGGATGTGAAGCCATGGGATGATGAGACTGACATGAAAAAGCTCGAGGAAGCTGTTAGAAGTATTGAGATGGAAGGATTGACTTGGGGAGCATGTATGTTTCTCTTTCTGTTGACTTCTTGTATTTCTTCTAGGAACAAATGGAGACTAATGTATTTTTGGAACTGAAGCAATCAAGTCATGTTGAAGTTATGTTTCTCAAATTAACTTGTAAACATCTGTTTGTTGCAGCCAAACTCGTACCTGTTGGATATGGTATAAAGAAATTGCAGATTATGATGACCATTGTGGATGACTTGGTGTCTGTTGACAGTCTCATCGAGGAAAAACTCACAGTTGAGCCGATCGATGAGTTTGTCCAGAGCTGCGATATTGTGGCCTTCAATAAAATATGTAAGCTCACTGCAAGGATGTTTCTTAGGTGGTGTTGATAAATCTCATAATGAATCTATTGCCTAATGTGTTGATGCAACTCAAACAACTATACTGAATCCTGTTTTTATTTGTCTGATGATTCTTGTGACAGAAATCGAAAGCTTGTTGGAGTTTTGCTCGAAATCGGTGCAGGAGAGGTTCGTGCTAGTGAAGATTCTGTTTACGCATGACTGATTTTAAGTCATAAATGTCCACTATATTCCTATGTTTTCTTTCTCCAAGACTTTGGTATCAAGAGTATCAGTTACTCCCTTTTGGATTCCTATTTAAATTAATGCTTTTGTTGAAGTTATTGTACTGATATGATCACTGCTTATTACATTACACACACATACATAAATCCAGCTTAAGTCACCATCTCAATAGTTCCTTGCTCGACACCGATGCAGTTTTACTCCCCATTCATATTCCCTTCACATGTCACTGCCACACGACACACATCTATGTATACTCACTAGTACAGCACATTACTACCTTGAAATGAGACAATTTTGCATTATATATTACGTAATTTACCCCTGCATGTAGTATATAATACTCTCCGGGCACTTTTTGTCCTTTACTAGGGTTCTGGATTTTCTCTTCAGGTTTCAACGAGTCATATTCTCACTGTTGTATAGTTGGGAGATTGTGGGAGTGTGTAATATATTATATGTGGGGTTTATATATAATGCAGGGTTGTCCCATGAATGTGCCTTATTTGTGAGTGTAGATACATGTGACAAGTGTTGGTGCTGTGCTGATGAGATATGTATGAGGTGTATATATGTGGGTTTATAAGTATATATACTAGCAGTAAGGCTAAAATATGGGTGTACAAGTATGTGAAGCTTTGTATAGTTTTGGAGTACCTGCAGAAAGTAATAACAGTTGTATCTCTCAGCTACCATTTGAACTATTTCGCAAAGTTCAATGAATATCGAACAATTTTTAAATTAATATATTCAGCATTTTTAGGTACTTACAATTTTCAGTTTCGATTTATCGTTTTATAACACGTCGCTACATCAGATATATAAAGTTCTTGCTTAGTCACCAATTTCATTACACACCTACTTGACTTTGGAGACCTTACAATGGTATAACTGAATATAACAACCAAAATTTTTAGGGTACTTAAAGATTCTAAAGAACCCGAGTTATGATGTTAATAAAGCTATGTTTGGTGGTACTAAATCATGCATTGAAATTTTAAAAAAAGATAGTTTAATTTAATTTCAATTTCAAGGCATCACATCTATAAAAGTGCATACAACCCACAGAGGGGGCGGTGATGGGATGGATCATGACACTGACTTTAAGCGGAGCTAAAATTTATTTCACTTGTGAATTGTGATCATAATGACAAAGGTGAATGAAAGATTACTAATTCTAATATATATATATATCTGTGTGTTATGTAATTAAGTACAATTTGGAAATTATGGATTTTTAAGAAAAAACATAATACAATTTTTTGAAAACTTCTTGAAATAGTTGTTTAATTTTTTTAGAATAATTTTCTGTGAACTAAAAATTAAAAAATTGTATAAAAATTTATTTGGTTGACAATATTTTAGTGTAAATCTATTTGATAACAATTATTTATTTATTTATTTTTAATTCTAGAGAATTTTTTTTAACCAAGCATGTTATCTCTTTTAGCTTAGTTTTAAAAAACGGTCCATTAAACAAATTTTTATACAACAAATTTTAAAAATAAACAGGCTCTATTATACAAGCTCACGAAGCATAAGCATGTGAATGGGTTTTGGGCTCAACATTGTTTAGGACTGATCAGCACAATGATCTGGCCCGGCCCGCCAAATGTTTACACAGTCTGGGAGGACTTTTCATTACAAGGTGAGATCGAGAGAGAGAGAGAGAGAGGTGGTTTTCCCGTTTTGGGTCTCAGGCGGGGGCTTTTTCTCTGTGCTTTGTATGTGTGTGTGATTGTGTGTTGTGTGTGTGATTGTGTGTTGTGTGTGTATATATATAGAGAGAGGAGAAGTGGGGAAGGATGCCAAAGAGGACGACGCACACGTACTCGAGCGAGGACGCAAGACCAGATGGTCATGACTCTGATCTCTTCGTCTATTACTGCAAGCACTGTGGATCTCATGTCCTAATTACTGGTTTGCCTCTCTTTCTCTACTTTTCTCGATCCCAAATTGATCTTTTGCTAGCTCTAGAATGGTCTCAATCGAATTAGACACGCTATATTTATAAATGCATTGTTACCTATGTTAGAAAATTTTGGTTCAGATTAATTTTAGGTTCCGTTTTCTTCTTGTTTTCATCTTTAATTGTTGGGAAATGATGTCAATGCCAAAATTAGCCATAAATTTGTGCAGTTCCTTTTGAAGAGGAATCAGTTTGTTTTAGGGCTGCAACTCGGGCTGGTTGGGCGGGCTTGGCATTCATCATATAGAAAATCTTCAGCCCAAGCCCAGCCCAGCCCGCACTAAGCCCACCTCAGAAGAATTTGTGTGTAAAAAATAAATCAATTAATACTGCAGCCACTCGAACCTGAAGCATAAATCCCAAGCACAGTACCAACTTGGCTATTACATTATTACATTCTTGTAATTTAAGTATAATTATAAATATATATAATATTTTCGGGCTCGAGTTGGGTTTCGGGCTTCATTCATATTAACCCAAGCCCAGCCCGAATTGAATTCGGGCTCAAAATATATAGCCCAGATTCAAACTGAAATTAGAAAAATATTGCCCAAGCCCACAAAATTTTGGGTTGGGCTCGGGTTATTTCGGGATAGGCCCACCCGAGTTGCAGCCCTATTAGCTGTGTGTATATGTAATTCTATTAGGTGTGGGTGGTGAATTTTGAGTAAAAAAAAGAATTAGCTGAAAGATAGTATTTATTGTCTTCTATATATCCTTCTCTATATTATTTTATCTTTATAGTCCATAGTTTTATACAAGGAACTACTGAACTCAATTACTTGTTGCCATTACCTGAAGGTCTATTCTGTAGAGGTACTCAAATTGGATTTCCTGGTTTCGTTATAAACTTTTTTGGTTAATTCCAGTTATGCAAATCAATAGTTCAAACTCTGGGATGTGAAATATATCTCTTCTCACCATCCCTGCAGTGTGTAAGAAACGTATGCATTCTTCCCCTAATGCTAGACTGACAATATTAACTCCCCTATCATCCACATAAGGGCTCCCAAGGTCCGCTTCCTCTTGTTAGGATCGATTGTTTTGCTTGAGCTTCAGTGGTTGACTTGTTCTTCATGTTCTAGCCTTCAAGAATTCCGATGATGTTTGCCAAACACACAACTATCACAAATTTTATTGTCATAGTCATACAAAGGCAAACCAGAAATCCAGAGTCAAAATTTCAATCATGGGGTTAGTCGCTAGTTTACATGACATATCGAGACTGCCGACTGGTGAAATGCTGCTCGAAATCATATAGTTAATTAATGAACCAGTTTAGGTTATTTATTGGTAATGTACTCCCTTTGATGTATTTTTATCATGGTGGACGAGAAAAACTGGGTTGCATCTGTTGCACCGTGTAACTGGCATATCCAACAGTACATTACCACACTCGCGCGTGTATTACACGCATGGTTTGGATGCGCCCGCTGCATGGTGCAACGGGCGCAACCAAGTTTTTCTCGTGGTGGAGACTCCTAGGGCTGCAAGTCCAGCCGCCATCATGCTGTAGGAGATTCTGATATGGGTGCTTAAATTCTCTATTCTCAGTTCTCTATTTTTTATTTTTATTTTTATTTTTGGGCAAAAGAAACCCCATATGTCAAATAGGCGGTCCATTGCCTCTCCTTCTAAGGTACAAAGGTCAAATTGCTGATCTATGGGGGATATAGTTGATTTTGTGAATTCTTTGGCAGTATAGTGGGCCCTCTTAGCCCTTGTTTTCACTTTGTAATGCGCTTCCCTCTTGAGCACTTTTAATGAAATTCTATTTATAAAAAAAAAATTATTTCATTTTGTCTTCCTGCTTAGGAAGAATAAGTACAGGAACCTTTTTCTTTTTTGGTTGGTGCTTTTAGAACTGTTGGGAGAATAAAATAGGTTTGAACCCTATACTAAACTAGATAAATTTAACTAAAAGGCCATGTTACCAAAGAGATGAAAAAAGTAGCAAACAAACAGAAAAGGCTATGTAAAGCGCCATTAACCATGTATTTCCATCGTAAGCCCTTCTTATATCAATTTGTGCTTTTATCTCTGATGTCCTCTATCTTTAATGAAGTGACAAAGTCAAATATGTTTCTGTGCATTACTTTGATGTATATTCTTTTTTTGGTAGGTTACTTGTTTGTATATTCTGAAAGGTGATATCTAACTTTTTTTGTATTGGACTTTTTTGAAATGAAATTTTGCTGTTGATTTTTAGCGCGTAAGACCTTATTCTGTTGTAGAGTCTGTAAAATTATCGGCACATGTCATTCCATTGGAAATATAAAGTAGACAAGTTATTTGCCTCTTTAATCTAATGCTCACTGTCTTGAAGCACAAAGTATAATATCCTTTTACTTGATCTGTGTAGGATATCGATGGATCACTTGATTGTAGATATTGAATTCAACTACTTTTGATATGGGCTCCTGCTGGAAAGAACTTCCCTGTTATATGTTATATTTAATTTCTGTTAAAGCATTATTTATTGATGCAAGGAAACTTCCATAGTAAAATATATTTTCTGTAAGATACCCAATTGCAGAAAATGCCAAAAAGGAAGACTGACAAAGCATATGTATTGGACAAGAAGAAGCATCTTGCAAGGCTCAACATAAATGAGGGAGGAAAAGTTCTGTTGAAACGGTGATGACCCATTATACTTCAGTGCAAAGTTTTGTGTTCATTATCACATGGATTCTTTTTCGTATTTCTAATTCCATTTTTTAATGTATTCAAATACTACTTTCTACTAGAGCCTAAACATTGCTTTAAGAACATAATTTAGAAAAAAGAAGAGATATCAGGATAGATTTATTTCTAATTGTTAGGACGCGACTCATAATTTTTTCCAAAACTGTTGTTATTTATTGGCCATTGTAATTGAACAACCTAGAAATTTTTAGTGTTCTCATGAGAAACCTAGAAACCTTTAGTGTTCTCATGAGAAATGCATTGAGGTGCATGTGTAAGATTATTTTTACTACTAGCCTTTGTTTTAGTGACACAATTTTGGGTCCAGTCCATCTGTTAAAAGTATTTGATTGTCATTAAATCTCAAATTCTGGGAGTCAAATGCCAATTTGATATAGCCAATAGTAGAGGAGGATGCCATTTCTATTACTGTTGCAATTAGGT